TTTTTTTTTTTTTTTTTTTTTTTTTTTTTTTTTGGTAGCGGGGATTGAACTAGGGTCCTTGTGCTTGCAAGGCAGGCCACCCAACCACTGAGCTAAATCCCAGGCCCTATTTCTTTTGATTGGTGAACTGAGGCCACTAACATTGATGGTTATAACTGATATGTATTGACTTTTCATTGTTATGTTATCTTCCTGTTATTACCTCTTTTATTTTTTATTTTTCCCCATCTCCTTTTAATTTCTTGCCTTGCCTGGTGTATTTGCTCTGCTGGGCCTTATTGAGTGCAGTCAATTTTCTTGCAATCTCAAAGTATAAGCTACAAAGCTCAAAGATATTCAATACCTACATTCCCACTGAGACAACTTCAATGGTAATACAGGAAAACAGGAATGAATAGTCGTTGTTCCAGCAGTTGATCCAATATTATTTTTCCTTGATACATTTTCAAGATTAGCATAGTGATAGTAGGGTCTGATTCCTTACATATATGTGGGGATATAAATACCTTAGAGAGCTCCTTTCTAGAGATCTTCCCTCTACTGCAAACCCTCCACAGCATATACACATGTAAGTGTGCACACATGTGCATGCATGTACATGCACACGCACACACACACACACACACACACACGAAGTTAGGTATTTAAATGACTCAAAAACTAACTTGTCTCATGGATAGGAGGATAATGTCAAGTGTTGCTATCCCAGAATCTCTAGTTATTGCTGGATTTGTGGGTTAGCCTGGCTGTATGAACTCTGAGAACAGCAATCTGAGGTCTCAAGAATAGTGTGGACATACAATAAGGCAACTCAGCTAAATCAAAATGAATCGAATGAAGATGAGAATCAACTGGGACCTGGTGAGAGAAAAATTTACCATGGATTTTAACTCCAAAAGGAGGCTGAGATATACACCAGGCCCAGAGAGAGGGCTGCCACTTGTCAGGGAAACTGGTTTACAGGAAAACCCTCACCATGTCAGGCTATGTCATGGATAAACCACCTTGCACAAAGAATCCGACCCAAATAACAACATCACTGCAAACATGCTGTGATTCAGCAGTGGCTGCGTTCTCGTGCAACATGGAGAGCCTGAAGTAAGAGGGGCTGGCTTACCTAGCCACACATCAAATGTATTTTTGGATATGTGGGTATCTGGAGAAAGGCAGAATTAGGTGCAATCAAAATGCACAGTACATTCTCCCTTCAGGAAAAAGCAAAAAGACTGTAAGTACTTAGAAAGGAAAACAGAAAGGAAATTGTGAGGTGGAGGCTATGAAGGGAATTCCATCATTGCATGTATTCACAGTGCTTCACCTACATTCCCTGACATCACACAGCACCCCACTGGCTCCTTGTGGTGATTACTGAGACTTGCTGAGGTTTTCCAGCTCATTTTGTCACTTCCTCATTTTTCTTATCTAGCTGTGCATGATACTGGCAGCAAATGTGAAGTCTCTGATTCTCTGTACATAGCTTTGGGAAGAGAATTTGTCATCCAATAAGATCTATTCCTAAAGCTCAGTGTTTGCAGAACTAAAATCAAGGGACAAGGCACTCTACATATTTACATCTCAGTAGCTCGCATTGGCATCACAGGACACATACCTTCTACTAGTGTGTTTGTAACAACACTCATTATACTGTTGATTCTGTCTTTTCGTCCATAGGAGGCCAGTTGGTCCATGGATACTAAAAGAGATCCAGGGCCTTTCTTCTTAATTTCCACCTCTGTTGTTCCCTAAAAAAAAAAAAAAAGGCAAGTAGGGTAAGTAAATCTGATAAACATAAGATGGCCATACTGATACAGTCCAGAGTGTGAGAAGTTTGACCTTCGTTACATTTTTTTCTTTTTAATTGGCTGTATTATCTTAATTAGTTCAAGAAGTAGAATGAAAAAAGTTGGCCATGGATGATCCTTAGTTCTGTAGATAAGTCATTTAAATTTATGCAAATGAACTACCATGAACCCAAGAAACTGGCTGGAATCCAAAAATACCACCTGTTTAGTTCTAAGCAGAGTAGAGAGACCAAATCCCTTAGGGGTACTGCCACCAGGAGTAGGTGCTGAATTTCCCTGTCCTAGTCTCATCCACAGCATTTGGCTAAAACTGGTTCACATAATAAAATAAGTCAAATTCACCTCTACTTCAAATTTTATTAATGCTAAGTTCCCAATCACGGTGAACGTCATAGATGCTGTTTCTTCCCTGCCACTCTAGCAAACTGCCCCCTTCCAAATGCCAAACCTTGACTAACTACACATAGGCAAGCTGAAGTTCTACTCTAAATCTCTTCCAAGGTATTGTAAGAAAGCAGGGTAATATTTAGTATCTTAAATATATTGTATCATATGTATTTATCTTGTCATTTTACAATTTTATTTTATAAATTTACCCACGATGTTCAAATTCTGAACCAAATAAAACTAGCAGAAGACATTATCAGAGTGTCATAAAAGACAAGTTATATGCTTTGCTGTGGGCAATACTGGTATGGTGCCTTACAGCAAAGGGTTTCTTATTGTCCCTGGCTCATGTTCTTTATGACTATTCTACATGAGATTAGGTTTAATGGGATGGCTTAAAACTTAACTCTCTAGTAACTATATTTCTCATATCATGGCACTCACTTAAAACTGGCTGCTCCTTTCATGGTAAAGGTAAGAGGAAAGAGACAATTACTGTCCCTCAGAGGATGAGGAAAAGACATATTTGTATGAGGCTAGAGAAGTATATGTCTGATTAGTACCAGAATGAACCTGTCCCTTCTACCCCCCACCCTGTACTGGGGTCTGAACTTACAGCCTTCACACTGAGCTACATCCCTAGCCCTTTTTTATTTTGAGACAGGGTCTTACTAAGATGATAAGTTGCCCACCCTAGTCTCAAACTTGCAATCCTCCAGCCTCAGCCTCTTAGGGTCCTGGGATTATAGACATGTGCCACCATGCCCAGTTGAAAATAAAATACTTTGGACAGCTACATTAAAAAATCCTTGTGTTGGGGCCAGGGATTTAGCTCAGCGGTTCGGTGGCCTGCCTTGCAAGCGCAAGGACCCAAGTTTAAAAAAAAAAAAAAAAAAAAAAAAAAAAAAAAAAAAATCCTTGTGTCCTTAAACATGTTTGTTTAGATTTTAATGCCTGCATAGAAGAAAAGTTCTGGCAGATGAAAAGATTTATCTGATCAAAATGTTTTGTCAGACTACTCTGTTGATCCAGACATTTGGTTCATCCTAGGGTCCTGTTTGTTTAGTTAGTTTGGTTGGCAGAGCCAGAGCAGAAATAGAAAGGAAAAATAAATTATTTTCTTGGGAATTCCTGCCTGCTTTACTATATAAACATCTTGTTTATATAGTATAACTTGTTAGCTATTATCTCAGATCATAAGATCTTTGAGAAGCCTGGTTTTGCTACAATTCTCAGCCTGAATATGAATATGACACTTGATAAACTAAACTACCATATATTTTATTTATTTATTTTTTGTTTGTTTGTTTATTGGTACCAGGGATTGAACTCGGGACCTTGCACTTGCGAGGCAGGTAGAGGAACCACTGAGCTAAATCCCCAGCCCTAAACTACTTTATTTTATAAATTATAATCATCTAAAAGTGAAGAAAGGCTCCATACAATAGACACTTGTTCCTGTAGTTTACTGATTCTTGATTTTTACTGAGTTGTCCTTTTATAAACCTGTATTTCACAGTAGATAATTTTCTTTTCTTTTTTTTTTTTTTGGTACTGGGGATCGAACTTGGGTCATTGTACTTGTGAGGCAGGTGGCAGAACCACTGAGCCTCCCCAGCCCTTTTTTCTTAATGATGACTTTAAAGGAATAAGATCCTTTAAATAGTGTATGATCAAATGGACCATCTGGCTCATCAAGCAACATAAAATTTCATATAATATGGCTTTAGTACTAAGCATAAATGTTTTGTGGGCTTGCCAGATATAACAAGATATAATTTCTTCAGACTTTATTAACATCAAACTTAAAAACAAATTAATAAAACAGAGTCTGGAAGACCTAGTCAAATCATTTGAGTGCTGGAATGCTAAAATAATCTTTAGCTTGAGGTATTTTCTTGTTGTTTTTTGTTGCAACTCATAGCCTTTTGTATGTTAGGAAAGTGCTCTACTAGTAAGCTATAGCCCTATCTCCTAGCTTGTGGGTTAAAAAAAAAGATATACATAAAACAAAAAATTCATCCTCAGACTTAATACTAGGATAATACAATGTTTGCTTTTGCTTTTGTTTTTTTGAGGCAGGATCTCCCTTTGTAGTTCAGGCTGGCCCTGAATTCACTCTGTAGCCCAGGCTATCCTCTGTAGTGATCTTCCTGTCTCAGCCTCCTGAGAATACAATTTTTTCTTTTAATGTTTCTATGCTAAGTGAACATAAGCCAGAGCAGAGATACATGGAAACAACTTATATAACATTCAAATTTGTCTTGTAACTCAATTATTATTGAATACATCTTTATGTTTAAAAGGGAAATATATGAGACACTAAGACAAAAATTTCAAAGCTCATAGTTAGGGCACTTTAGAGGATTAAAAAAGAAACTAATTATGTTACTCTTTTTTTTTACACAGACAAGAACATATGGAATATATCCAAACAACTGGAAAGTCCATAGTCTTGGGGTAGCAATAGGGTACTCAGAAAATTCCCCAACTATATGTAAACTAAACAAGAGTTCTAAAAATTCATGTTTCAAAGGTGAAATCACAAGAAAATATTTTAGCTGGATGATAAAGAAAACATAATACATCAAAATTTGTGAAGTGTAGGTGAAATAATGGTTAGAGGAAATTTTATAGTTTTAAGTGCTTATATTAGAAAATTAAAAAGGCATAAAAATAAGTGCTCTAAACTTTCACCTTGAGAAGCCAGCAAAAGATCAAATTAAACCTTGGGTAAATAGATGAAAGAAAATCATAAAAAATAGACTGGAAACTAATAAAATGGTATGTGAACAAACTAAATAGAGACAATCACAAAAGTTAAATGTTGGTTCTTTAAAAAGATTAATAAAATGATATTTCCCCCAGTAAGACTGGTTAATAAAGAGAAAAAAGGAACATCATTACAAATCCTACAGACATTTAAAAAAATAATGTGTTTTTGATGTACTGTGTATATGTATTATTATTATTGATAATGATTATTAATAATGTAATAATGACATATCAAGGAAGAATCAATATACTAATCAAATTATAACTCATCAAGAGATGTAAGAAATAAAAAAACTGTAACAGCCCACATCAAAAACAGCATACTATAAAGAAAACTTACTATAAAGAAAACTCCAGGCCTAGAAAGCTCCACAAGTGAATTCTATGAAATATTAAGAAATACCATGCATAAACAAAAATTTTTTCAGAAAAAAGAGGATAAGGGCACACTTCTTAACATGACTGATATCAATCTTGACAAAAATAATATAAGAAAGGAAAATCAGCAACTGGTATCTAGCATGAATAGAACTGCAAAATCCTTAACAAAATATAGGCAAACAGAATCTAGCAACGTATACAAAGGATTAAAATATATCATGACCAATAACAGTTTAACCCAGGAAAGCAAGGTTAGTTAACACTAGGAAAAAAGTCAATGTCAGGGCTGGGGTTTTAGCTCAGCGGTTCCACTGCCTGCCTTGCAAGTGCAAGGACCTGAGTTTGATCCCCAGTACCAAAAAAAAAAAAAAAAAAAAAAAAAAAAAAAAAAAAAAAGTCAATGTCATTCAATCAAGAATGAAAGAATAAAGAACAAAAAAATATGATCTTAGAGATGCTGAAAAACAACACCTCTGTATAATAACATTTCTCAGCAAACTATGAATAAAATATAGCAGTTTTAGTTTGATAAAAGATATCCATGAAAACCTGTAGCTAACATCATCCCTCCAGGTAAAACTTTAAATCCTTTCACCTATATTGGAAATAATAAAAGGTGTATGCTTTCATCACTTCTATTCAGTTTCACATCTGAAGTCCTAGTTAGTTCAAGAAAGCTAAATAAATAAAGATGGCAGCTGGTATTCACAGAAAATATTATTGCCTATGTAGAAAACTGGAATTTTCTAAAAAAAAAATCTCCAAACCTAATAGAACCAACATATTGTGACCTTTATTAAGGTTACATATTGCAAGGTCAGTATATAATCTATGGTCTGGCAATAAATAATTGAAAAACAAAGTTTAAAAAATTATAGTTTTGAAAGTGTTAAAAGTATCAGTGCCAAGGGATAAAGCCAAAGAAAGATGTACAAGATCTTTACTATGAGCTATCCAACTTTGCTGAAACTTAAGATCTAAATAAGTGAAGAGATATACCCCATTGTAGATTCTGAGACATCAGAATTAAGATACTCTCTTGAAAATGATCAACTGATTCAGGAAAATAATCCTATATTTTTTATTTTTATCTTACTTTACTATGATTATTTTTTTGGTACTGGGGATTGAATTCAGGACCTTGTGCTTACCAGGCAGGCACAGTGCCACTGAGGTACATCCCTGGCAGGAAAATAATCTTTTAAAGAAGACCTAGAATAGCAAAATAATTCCTTAAAATATTGTTATCTGTTAAATATCCTTAAAAATATTTTGTTTGAAGAGTTTATACTACCTCTTTTCAAGACTTATTACAAGGTTATGATGAATAATCACGATAAACAAATACTGTTATAAGCACAAACAAAAAGATAAAGGAAACAGAAGAGATTCCCCAA